AACTCTCGAGGCACTCTGGATTAATTCCAGAAATCCGAAAATGAACCGCAGGGAAGAATGCCTCATTATCACGCGTGATAAAGGGCAGTATATAAAACTGCTTTTCTGATGTGAGGGGCACATTATACTTCCACGTGATTTCTGTGCGGTTGGTCTCTACGTGACATACTTAGTGGAGACCTCATAGAAAGCGGTGAATGTGCAAACCTGTGTTCAAAGTGATTGAAATCTTGGTTTGGGGTTTCTTTGTTTGGTTATGGAGGCATCTGGCCGAGTGAGTTGCTATCAACTTGACCTTTCCAGGCTCTGAAGAAGGCGAAATTCGCCGAAACGTCAGCTTAATCGTGAACAAAGAACAATAACACCTCGCGTTTGCTCAAAAAAATACGAACAAAATCACTAGTTATCTAAACTGGTCCACTATAATACTGAAAATTACAAGTTTTAGGCGAGTAATAAAGAAGAAAAACTAAGTCCCTGTATCTCCCATTCCATATTTCAACGATAACGAAAAAGTTTATTGCATGGTAGGTTATCCCAACTTACTAACATTTCGTAGTTTATGCTCATGCGTTAAAAACCCTTTGTAAACAAATCTTGTCCATAAAGCATCTTTAATATTGTAGGTTTTCCCACACTTGTACTAAATGAAAGCTCCGAATAATTTTGTTGAAGAAAAACATTCTAATGTAGGCCTTTGTTCCTCATAATTCCGTATAAAATTAACTTCAACTTGTTTGTTCGTAACTAAACTTTAACAGAACACGAAGAATACTTGAAATATGACAAGGTGTCTGAAATTACGGCTCGACCCATGGGAGCGTTCCCATGTAATTATCGTCTACTAATTCGTCGGTTAGTAGCGGATGTAGGTACGAACAAATATGCTACAATTTAGTCAATCAATAGCAAAGGAAGATTTTAAATGACAATTCAAAGTGACGAATTCAACTAAAGGATGTAATGATAATACTACAAATCCAAAACATTATGAGGCCCGGGCAGGTGGAGAAACAAGAATCACCGAATCACCGCGCACGTACAACATAGGGATGTTCCTTTTCGTTTGCCGATAGATCTCCTCAAACGACTCTTCATCAACTTCGGAAGTTGTAACCGTTTCTTCAACCTACGTCAAAATGGCTTCAACAGTTTTATAACGAGTAGTGAAATACGGGAAAGAAAATAAGGCGCTCGAAAATAACCATTTGAAAACTAACATTGGAAAGAATCATATTCAGATGTTGGTCATAAGCATGAAGTCGACCTCGTATCTGAATTGAAAACAGTAAGTCGACAAAACAATCTAAGTAGGCAAAGCAGAAAACAGGTACGCCGATGGCAATTCTCTCGTGACTCAAAGAAGCAGTTTAAAAAAAATTCAACCACCTTTGAATGCAGAACGACTTCTACGTAACTAGGACTATCCGCCAAACAAAAAAGAAAAACAAAACGCAGTACGAAACGACCACATACTTCTCTATCGTTACGCATCTTCACATAGACCCGTTCGTCTAAACTTAATTTGATAAGGTCGAGAGGTTCTTCTACAGTGCTCGACAGCATCTACAAACAAAAATGACCCAACAGACATTATCGATTAGAATTGGAGAAGAGTATAGCAATAGTAAAGGATAACAGTTTCACCTGAGGAACATCTTTCTTTTCAGCCATTATGTTCTAGGAACGGTCAAATGGGATCTAAAGAAGGACTGCAGATCCACGAAAACCTACCTGTCATCGCAAAAATACACTGGCAAAAGAACCCATAGAAGGCTCAAGAGGAAAAAACACATTGTTCATTACTGCGCAACAATAAAAGCAGAAAGTATCAGACTCAGTCAACAATAAGGAATACGAGAACACCACCATACCCTATGTTACTGACCAATATGTTAGTGAACAAAACGAAGCCCGATATTCCTATATGCAGTCACAACTGAATATAAATGAAGTTTAACACGAAAACTTTAAATAACAATGAAACCAACCTTACCATGCCATTAAAAACCAAGAAGGAAAAGAGAAAAACAGAATCACAGATGCTATCAAAGATCGCATAAACATTTTAAAATAATATTCACACGATATGACGACGTTAATGAAGAGAAATCCTTGCGTGACTGACATAATGCAGCTTCGTCTCGGCATCCAGGAATCCTATAGGGCCAAATTCGCAATCGGCACACGCCAAATATTTCACACCTTCAGCTGAATTCGTAAATCCCACGTTCTCAAAGTCGTACATGTCTCGAACAATCCAGAACCCAGAAACTGCTTCCTGAAAATGAGTCGCAAATTGGAGGCAAAATATATCAATAATAAAAAACCAAAGGCTATAAATGATACGGCCAAAAATTAGGACAAATTGTAGAAGCATCGGAATAAAACAGAAGCATGATATAAGGTAAGCCATAAATAAACAATATAAATAGTCAAAACAACGCAGAATGAAGCGTGAGAGGGAGGCTATCTATAAAGAACTACTCCTCGAAGTTTCATTAACCATAACCTTAATTAGGAAATCAACTGAATCAGTTTATACAATGATAAATTGGAGCAGGATTTATCTAATACTCTCGCGACGACGGATAATCTCGGGTCTGTTACGAACTGGACTACGCCTAATCTGCATCCTTCATGGTTTCTTGTTTTTTTTTTAAATAAACAGTAATTTTCCGATAGATAGAGGCATTAGTGGATTGTAGACATGAAGGGATTATAGCAAAGACTTTTTCCTACCATTCTACGGGTGTGAATGATATCTATTGTGTTATTTACTAAGTGCTACTATGGTCCATTATACAAGCACATTACTGTGAGCATTCGGAAGTGTTCTACGATTTATGTCTCTATTTCAGTATTTTTTATATCCTCACACTCTATACGATAGCTTTCATTCGCTACAGCAATTAGAACTAAAATATAATTGGTGAGCACCCAAATTTCCGACTAGTGAACTCATTCGGAAGACGGGTTTCGCATAGTTCTTAAGCGCAAAAAGGAGCTTTTCCATACCGATGCCTAAAACAAGATCTGTGTCCTACAGCCTACCAACTGATAGCAAAAAGTGCAGGGAAATAATTCCACGCGTTAATAAACCACTAGGAAGAAAATTCAATCTAGAGGTGTCTTACCGACCACTTCCGCAAAACCACTGTAACACCTAAAGACGTCGGTGTCACTCGTCGCGATGGCGTTAAATAATTTCACGAAATCGCCTGATCTTATTGCAATCTATCACTGTGATCATTGCAATCATCGAAATCTGAACAAAAGAAAACTGTCAAAATATTCTTCTGAAGCCCACTTTCTGCGTGGCTACGTTCTTCTCTTGACGGCAAAGTGGCAGCATCGCGTTTCTGTTGGACCAACGACCAGCGCCTGCAAGAAGCACCACGCTTCCACAAATGCCACATACCAGGCGTTGCTTGTTCGACGAACCCTCAGTCACGCTTGATGTTGACTCCTGCAATAGTCGGAAGCTACAACTTCCTATGGATTTCGTGAGACGGACGTTTTTCTCAAGCCATTCGACCCATCTTCATGGAAATCACCGTGCTATAGACGTACTTTTATACTAAATCATATTTATAAAGACTGTACACTAACTCTCGGATCCATCAACGATATCGTAGTGCAAGAAGGAGTGGATGAGCTCATCTTTCAATTTTATTTGCCTGAAAGGATGACCGTTTCTTCAAAATTACCTCAAGGCTCAACTACTTGTATTACATTACTTGCTAATTATTATTAAATGATTTGGCATCACATGCATCATACTGTGAGAATTCCAGCACTTCCTGCATGCGATTCGCTCCCATCCACCATCCACGAAGGTCTTCAAATTCTTTTTGTGTGGCTTAGACTGCTACTTGAGAGCTTTTTGTCTCCGTTACGAATGTCCTTGAATGCTTGTCAATTCTACCTGGTATCTTGGTATAGCCCTGCTAAGGGGTTTACGCGTGGATTAGGAATGAGCATGTCCAAGACAAATCTGGTACCAAGTTCCCGACCTCACAGAGTTGGATTCAGGGCGGGTTGAGCCACCAGCTGGATAGGTTGGGGAGCCTACGCAATGAAGGGGATCATTACCACTGTACTACCCGTATCACACTGTCATGATTACTGGTGAAAAATCTTTTACTATGTTATAATGTGTGATAGTTTTTCAGATAGCAAGCTAAGGAAATACGTTATATCGCTTACTGGTTACTGACCACGAGCACTTCTGAAGGTTCTTTCACTCACGTACGAAGATCTACGGGGACGACCTTGCACAAAGATCGGTAAGAAAATATAAAAACTTGAGAAGTTGACTGGTTTTCAAGAAACGCTAAGGTATATTAGTACACCTTCACAACGGCTCACCACCTTGTCGTGGCTGTGTGTTCCTGGCCGTCGTGTTGCTGTACACCAGGAGGATTCGGCTCAGGGTAGGGTCTCCCAAGCTGAGGAGTTTGACGTTTCTATTAGGAAGCCCAGCTAAGAGTAAACCAATACCAGGATCCACCACCGTCCCGATAACAAACTATTCGCTTGATGCTAAACCTTACTCCGACCCACAAGGGCGGCGACTCCACGTGGTGGTGACGACCTGGGACAAACTTTGACCAGGCTGACATCGGTACTCCAGGGAAACACCATGCCTAAACCATCAAAACTCCGAAAAATGGAGATTGTGCTGGGGTCCGCACAACCAGGGAGGAGAGGCCGTCCAAGTACCTAAGTAAGTATTACCTGTACAACGATGCTATTTTGTCTCTCTGCCGTTGCTCGTTGTTCTGAATGTCCGGTATCGAGCGGATCGATTCACGTAGTTGTTCCAAACCTGACTCCACTTGTCGTAGACGCACAGTTAGCTCCGATCCGCTACCTTTTTCGAACCTTAACACGGCATGTACAGTAGAGGTAATTCCAACTACCCAATCACTAAAACGAGAAGTTTCAATCACAAAGTAAGTAAATATGAGATGTTACAAAACCCTTCTTGATGATGTGCCATAAAAATAAAGAACAAATGCGATATACACATTGAAAATTAAAGAGATAAAGAGATATATGCTTACGAGGTTATAAGGTGTAGCAGGTCCGAGTAGATTTTATTCAGGCTATTCTGACACAGCTCATCCTTAGAGTCAGCCAAATTCATTCAGAACGTACCAAACCTCCAAAATTGAAGGACAAACTGGAACCCTCCCAACGAAAGATTTGGGCTAATTCGAAAAGAAACAAAGGACGCAATCACGGACCATTGGCCACGGCTTGTCCACCTCCGGTCTAGTGCGCGTCGAAACCCACTAGTCTACTGAAGTTTATTTTAGCGCGCTTTAGTACGATATTCCTGCTTAAAGAAATAAAGAGGCAGAGGAAGCAACGACGATTACAACGAGGCTATTCCTAGAAGTTCTCCGCCACAAGCGACACTTATTTTCCACATAAGATTCATTGTCTGTGTTCTCTACTCGCGTATTTTACCATATTTCAGGCTCTTTTTTCCCTGGGTATTCTTTAAGGTTATTGTGTTCACTTATATGCGAGTGTAGCGCAGTGGTCCGAGGCGCCCAGCAATACACATGGGATCGATCTATGCGCCCAAGGCCCACCAAGCCTTCCATCTCTCCGGGGTTAGAAAATTGGTACCAAACCTGTTTGGGAGGATAGCTAGCATCACTTGTTTGATACATCGATGGGCCATCGCGAGTCATTGTAAAGGCCAGGTATGCATTCAGTTACCTCCAGTAATGCTTAGTGAAGTCAGACTCATCCCACAAGGATTGATCAACGCCAAGAGCTTTATCCTTTATCCTTTTTTATACTCACTTATACAAAGTTTTTGTCACCAATTCTGTGCTGAATTTAATCAATAGTGTGATTTTTCAAGCACACATATCCCTACTACACTGTTAACAGACATCACTTGCGACAGGCCCGGCACTCACTCTTGCGCTCGTACAACACCTTTCAGTGCTGGTTCGTGCTCGCTCATAGCTAACCAAGCCTCCCACTCGTCCTGGCTTGAGGGAAATTGGTAACGGAATTTCCCGGGACTCGCTTGCTCTCTCCAATCGACATTTGAACGCCGTAGGCCAGCTATCCTAGGACTTTATTAAGAATCGACTCGACCAGCAGTCAACGGCATTAGTAACGAAGATGAAAATTCTCAAGTAGAGCGTAACCGAACCCATACGAACTAAGTTTGAAGACCTTCGTATATGATGGATACAAGGAAGAGAATCGAATGCAAGAATTGGTGGGATCCGTGCGAAAGATCTGAAGACGCTTCATGTAAAACTAAAAAGTGAGGAAAGAACAATCTCCATCCGCCACTTCCTATAAAGAACGAAGCCTGTTTGTTCACAACAAACGATAATTTTGCGATAACTAGAGGACTTGAGCAGTCGAGGATTTCTTACCAACCATAATGAAGGGACTATGCTCTATCGCCTTAAATTTATACATGATGGAACGTCGAACAGAATTTAATGAATTGCAATACGCTATTTATCGAAGGCTAAAATGAGTAGGCTAAAGATGGAGTGGTGAATACGGAAGCCCTCGTCCTTTCTGGCGAAGGACCGAAAGTGAATCAGAGAGGAAAGACAAAGGTTTTGATGAAAAGTCGACGATGAGTGTTCCAACAACGTACCGCCTCACAAGCACAGGATCTTCGATGATAGGAGATCTAGTGTGGATCCCAACTTTTTGCTTCAGAGTGCAGAGCAGACAGATTTCTATCAATTATTCATACCCGATATTTGAGCACTGACGATGATCAACTACGAACAGTTACGGACTACACGAGGAAAGGCCGAGACTGACGAGGTGAAAAGATTCATCGGGCTTTGGCATAACGTAATAACTACACCACGGCTGCTGTTGAGAGATTATTAAAGTTCCAGCTCTGCTGTTGCCTGCTATTATACCGCATCTGTTATTTTGAAAAGAAAATAAGAAAAGTTGTAGAGAGACTTGCTTTTTTTGAAAGCAGTAGACTTGGTAGGCGCTTAACAAACTTCCATTGTGGTATTTTGTGGCCTACAAGACAAGCTATGGAAGATTAGTTCTACAACTGAACTTGTCAGTAGGGTTACAGAAGAATACAGAAGTTACAGTCATATTTTGTTACAGAAGTTACAGTCATATTTTGTTATTATATTCCACACAGAAGGCACGACTACGCACTCAAATTATTCAAACTAAGCCCAAGCGGTCTCTCCATTATTGGAAATGTAGCGCATTCTTGCTGTAATGCTTATCCACAATTTCCTAAACGAAGAGTGGTATGGCTACACTGATAGCGCTCCTTTGAATTTAGGACTTGCTGCAGAGAATGTCTTTATCGCCACTCGGAGAAAAAGCAGGAAATGATTTCCCATGCAGGTGGAAAGGTGACTGGGACATTACTACGACATGACTCTTTACCTAACTCATAAAGACCTACGACCAGAGAAAGCTGTTCGTGCACGTCAGCGACAAGGTGACTCTGCGTAATTTTCTGCGTTTTGTTCACCCAGAAGGTAATGTCAAGGAATATTGGTAACCTCCTTTGCAAAATAATAAATGCTATTTATCATTTCTCAATCAAATTTACATAAACTTTACATATAAGTTATTCCATCACATGGGTTTAGAACGATCATATACAGCTGGGAGTCAAGCCACATCGGGATCTCCAAAGCTGAGAAGAAGTTCAAAATTTCCATTCGGAAGCCCAGCTAGTAGTAAACCAATACCAGGAACCACCACCGTCCTGGTCCGAAACTGGGTGGCAAATATCCCCCTGATTTACAAGGGCCGTCGACTGCCTGTGATGGTGACGACCTGAGGAAACTTTCCGCTAGGCTGACTGCGGTCCTCCAGGAACCACGTTGGCCTCACCATCAAATATCCGGCCTCACTTGACCGCACACTGAGCGTTCACTTTTACGACATCGAGCGGTAAGACGTGGAGACTGCTTCTTGATATACATCTATAACGCTAAAACAGTTTCTTCGGACGTCGACGTGCACGCTCATCATGAGACTACTGATCGCGTCAAATTTCATGTGATGGCCATGCAAGACACAAAATGCAGAGAGACCGACGTACCGCAATTAGAGGACGGAACCATTGTGATTCTTGGAAGGAAATTTCAGTTATGAAATATCAGAGGCGTTAGCTTTGTCGTATACTCATCTATTTCCCATCTAGTCACCTCATACAAAATCATATCATCACGCTTGGCCATTCTTCTTCTCCAATTTGGACGTCAAAAGAAAGTCAGCATCATCTGCTACTTACCAACTTGTCGAACTGGTTGATTTCCACCTCCGGTAGGAGGAAGTAATCCACAACGAGAAGTCGTTATAAAAGATTGTTGTTGAAGTGTTCAGCATCAGATTAGGAACGGCCAACGAAAGTGAATACAGCATAGGGTATGAGTTCATGCACTCGTCTTCCACACATTCTTTCTCATAATTACAGGATAGGGCAATTCGAAACAGGAGGAAGAAATGAGAATGGAAACCTTTTTGTACGACACCTGTCCGCAGTATATCTCTACCATGGGAAGGACAGAAAATATTCTTACAAACAGAAAGTCATGCCTCTTTGACACCTCAGTCGAACCTGGATTCTGTCCTGGATCCGATCACTTCCTCCTCTTCCGTGCGAAGATTCGATTCAGCCATGAGCTGGTAAAGAACTGTCGTCGTCTAAGAAAACCGAAAAAAGTCGCATATGATGAGGATATTCTCAATAAAATCCTGTCGTATAACTGGCAAATAAAAGAAGGCCAGACCGAAAAATAAGAAGAAGGTGCTTGTCGAAGACTATCGGCTTGGAACTTGTGGCGTGCCGAACTCGTCCCACTTTCTCAAACAAGAAGTTCGGATCGCATCCCCATTATCACTAAGGAGTTGTTCGAAGAGAGGACACTGCAGCTTGATCCTACTGCAACACATCTAACATGGCTAACAATAAATGCTAGGTGCAGGAGATGTTTGCAGGAGGATTTCTATTGGTATAGGCAGAAAAATTTATTGGAAGCAGCACAAAAACGACCGAGTTTTAAGAAGTGACGCCTGGATTTTGCGACTGTAATGTTCCGCTCTCTGTTCTGTCGCGATGAACGATAATAGGACTAGCACTACATCTCACCGTTATATGGAATTAATAACGGAAAGGTTAATCTTCCCCCCACCCTCCACCACTACCACCTCCCTATCCCCGTCCTCGGCTCCAACATCCTGATTGGTGGAAAACTGCTCCACGATACCACTTTCTGAAGTTCGAATTACTGTAGAAAGTATGAAGAGAGGTACAACTCCTGGATCCAATAATATCATCGCCAATTTCCTCACAGCAGGTTGCCACAAGTTACATGTGCTTCTGGCAACCCACATAACATCTTACCTTCAGAAAGAGAAAATCTGAGACCAGCAGAGGATCTCGCGCACGGTCATCCTGTTCAAGAAATGTACCGAAACAATCTTCGCAACTACCATCTGATAGGTTTGTTGAGTTTATTCTACAAGTTGTTCACGAAGGTTATCCTTTTCCACATATCGAAGACGTTGAGTGAGGCACAACCAGTTTAGCAAGCATCTGCCCTTTGTTCTAACCTTCATCGACTACCAGAAAGCGTTTGACAGTGTCGAAACGAATGCTATCTTATTAGCGCTCGTCGACCAAGAAATGGACTTGTCCTATATTCCAACACTAACCGATTTTTATCAGAACTGCAGCACAAATATACAACTTTTTCATCTACTCCTCATCATAACCATAAAAAGAGGAGTTCGACATGGCGGCAGAATATCGCTATATCTGTTTAGTACCGCAATGTAGCGGATAATGAAGTCACTCGATTGGAACGATAAGTGCGCTGAGAAGGATTAGCAATGATTATCGTCTCATCGTAGCAAAAAGGTGTCTCTAAGTGTGGAACTTCAGTGTTCAAGTAGAGACATTTCTACGTCCTCTTCACCAGCAATAGTCTCTGTGTTGGATCGTTTCTGTAACAGTAATGGTCCTTTTGCGGTAAAATGAATCCAATGGAAAGATTTGTTTTCTAATTTATTAAGTGTAGGGAAAAGGCTCATTTTTCACGTCTCACATGTTTCATATCTGATATTTGATCTACACAAGTCAACGAATGAACACAAAAATGCGACAGAAGCTAGGTGTGTCAAAGAAGCAAGTAAAAAGGAAATGCATTGGGAGGAAGGATGCATTCCGTCCATTTTGCCCACCCATCCATCCACATGCACACACATCTCCGTATTCACACACATAACATGCAGTGCATCTCGGGCGTTATGTATTAACCTTTATTACAAGTGTGTCTAGAAAACGAAGTCTTTAATTGTACTTGAATTGATCGATGGCTGACGTTTCAGCGACTTCGCCTTCCTCAGAGCCGTGATGTTATGTGTGGGACTGTACTTGAATTGTTTCACCAAAACATGAATGGGAACAGATACACTACTTTCACCCACTCATAAAGGTACTGGACGCATCATATGGATTGAATCAAACCAGAAGTGCTTCAAGTCATTGAGGTGCACAAATAAGCCCTGGTTAAAGTATTGTAGCAATCTCTGTTGCTTTTCTTAATAAAAATTACTTAATCTCAAAACCGACTTTCCTTTAACCTCGATATGACCGATCAATATGTAATCTTTCATTGATAAACTTACACGAGGTTGATAAATAGTCTTTTCATTCGGCTAAGGCTTCGACACTTTCGTCTTCACCTGAGCCGGTGATCCGAGTCGATGGTTCGAAAAACCACTGGAGGCAGCAAACGCAATGTGATGGTCATCCACTGGCGCATAGATAATTACGGGAGCAGAAAGGAACTGAAGAAGATTACCTACGACGTGTACTCCGATATCTACCATAGCTACATCTACAGGGCTCCAAATTAGGTCAGAGAAAATAAATATGTCGGTCGTCCATATGTTTATTCCTTCAGAAATCGCCTATACCATCTCGTCGATAACGCGTACATCCGAGTTAGACTCAAGAGTGACTCAGCTTTTCATAGGATATCTTCTAATCTCAGATTTCAAGGTCCCAAAAAAAGTGGGTAACGTACAGTGCTGTGCTGTTGAAATCATCAGACTAAGGATTTCGAAAAAAGCGGATAGTAGTCGAACTGCTGAATGACTGAATGTTCCCATAAAAGAAACAATTTTGCTTGACAATCGACTGTGTGCAATCCTTTATCTTGGGGGCGAGATCAGGTCAATTCAGCACAGCAACTATCCAATATGAAAGAGCAGGACCGTGTGGAATTCATTTGTGCTATGCTCCACTCTACACCATTCACCTCGATACGACCACTACGAAGACCTTCTTCGTAAGAAAAGCGAACGGCTGTGAACACTCTACTTGAATCATCATTGCTTTGAGGAAGGCGACACCACCAAAACTTTTGCACGAAAAATTTGTAACAACCTCGTGTAGCTTATCAATAAATCAAGAGATAGGATGTGCATTCGACTTAGCTGAAGAAGAAGCGACAATGGAGACTTCACAATCAGGGTCTCCCAGCTCAGTGCGTAAAAATCCTCAATGAGCGACATAACAACCTCACAACCACAATTTCATTAGCCCACGAGGATTTTACCATTTGAGCAATGGTAAAATTCGACACGGGGATACACCTTTCCAAAATTATTTACAACCACTCCCTAAAACACTGCGGATAAGTGGAATGAGATACCAGAGGTTTCAAACTCGGTAGCCTGTAACTCTACGATCTCCGCTTTATTGACAGTGTATACCACGAAAGACTACCAAAAAAGAATAAAACGGAACTACGAACGCCGTTCCGATTGACCTCGACAGTGTAGGTGGACGAATCCCTATTCGACACAACATTCATAAAACGCTGTCCATGAGGAACGCATCCAATCCTGATGCCCCACTAACGCTTAATGCAATGAACTTTAAGTGCTTTAGAAACATGTGGAAGGGTTGTGAAATCAACAAGATGAAGGACTTTAGACCAGAAGCGTCGATGTTATAACGAAGAGGGCGAAGAACACCTGGCTCCATCTAGTTTTTTCGACTCAGCAATCGCACTACAGTCCCACCTTATCGGACGAGCTAGTGATAGTTTGTTGCCCTACATCACATTCCACACACGTTCTAGACATAACTCGTTGCCCCGCCTAGGCAGACGATTAGAAATCGAAGCCGTTTCTGAATACGTCTACACAACGAAAGTATGGTGATGCATCTTCATGACAATCCCTGGATAGAGCACCACAGTAACAATGTCCAACCAGATGTGTAGTCACTGATCTTTTTTTTTCCAAAGAATACCTTAGATATTATGATGTCTTCTCAATAAAACGAGCAGAACCTGATCGATCCCTGAGAAATGCGATATGCATTCCACTTCGTTAAGCATCATTGGAGGTGACTGGGTGCTTATCTGGACTTTACAATGACTCGTGCTGGCGTACCGATGTATCGACCCAATGCTGCAACAGTCCCAGACAAGTATGGTATCAATATGCCGACCCCGGATAGATGAACGGCTTGGTGAGCCTGGGACGCGCGACCTATTCCTTGTGTTGCAAGGCGCCTCCAACCACTAGCTAGCGTAGTAAATAACTCAAGCACACAAATAATAATAACATAACAACTAACAATGATAGACGATTATAATTGTACTAACAATTGACAACAACAATAAACATATAAGTAATTATCACATACGTATATTATATATATATATATATATATATATATATGTATATAATACAATGCATTTTACAAAACAAAACAAAAACGAATATAAGTGCGTATATATCACCTGTATATATAGCTTGGAATAATCTCAGCTTCAACTTCAAACGTACTTGTGTTAATACTGAAGTCAATTATTTGAAACAGAAATCATTAGTATCAACATATAACAGTACGTAGGTGTGATTAACTCGCCACAGTGAAATGCTAAGCGTAAGCGCTAAGCCTAAGCCCACCCCAAACTGCTTATAGTTATCAAGGAACGTATCTCAAGCAATGAGGACATTCTGTAAGCAGAACGCCGTCCATTACGACACAATGGCACCACGGAGAACTCTTAAAGCAGCCAACATGGTACATAAACAATTTCTCAACGCTTCATCAGAGACAATATTTATTTCTTACTGAAGAGTAGTAAATAACGCTAGCCCACAAGTACCATGGATTCCATATTCAAAAAAGAATTTGTTAGAAAACCAAGCACTACAGATACTAAAGAGAAATTAAAATATAATCTTAACGTCGTTGTTTACTGTACACGTATAAGGAAGGAAACATTCATTCGAGGAATTTCATAGCCAATATGAACCAGAGAAATTGAACGAGCTAAGTGAGAAATATAGAAAGGTTACTACAAGACGTACGCAAAGCGCTCAAATCACAATCACATGTAAGGATTGACCATACTGAAATGAGGAACATCACGAAATCACTTGCTTACTCTCATCTGATGGTGTGGCAGCATGACTTCCTCCTCGAGCTGCACTCGAGAGATGATCAATTGAAGTAGAAGCAGCCATTTTTGCCTAACAAAAAAAAAACATCAACCGTGGTAGAAAAAAACTATATAGTAGTTGGGTATACACAGTTCAAAAAACCGACTCTACACAGAACTGCCACGACCGACTTTCTATTAACCTCGGCATTGATCAAGTGATTTTCTTCGTATTTTTGTTGAGCAAACGCGAGGTGTTACTATTCTTTATTCACGATTAAGCTGACGTTTCGGTGGATTTCGCCTTCTTCCGCTTTCTATGAGGTTTCCACTAAGTATGTCACGTAGAGACCAACAAAAATACGAAGAAAATCTACACAGAACGGCATTAATGAGACGTATGCACAGACTATATAGGTATGTAATATATATATATGTATACCTATATATACATGTATATATAGGCGTATATATACGCGTATACGTATATATATACATACCCATACATGTATACATACATATATATATATATATATATATATATACTCACACGTATACTGCTAGGGTAAAAAAACTGGCTGAGAGAACGGAAGAAGGGCCCGTATTGGGCCTTGGTGGTGCAGCGCACTGTATGTGAGCTCACGGAAAGGATAGACCTGGCCTAGATTCGAGGCTGACCTGGGGTCTGAGTTTTGCAAATAACTGAGCATCACCGTGGTTGTGCTCAACATAATACTCTGCCGTGAAGGAATTATAGGTGGTGAATAAAAAGTTAAGCATTATGATTTTGACTGAGCATTCAACTCGAATGGGCCCAATGCCGATTTGTACTCCTAGGATCACTCCCGTTGACAAGTGTTTGCTGATAGCACTGTTAGGGTAAAAAAACTGGTTGAGAGAAAAGAAAAGCGAGGGCCTCGTTGGTGCAGTGGTCATCACGTGAACCCTGGGAAAAGGCAGTCACACGTTCGATGCTGACCTGAGAGTCCGAATTTTGCAAATATTTCAGCATCGTTGTTGTTGTACATCACGATTTAACTACAAGCTCTCACACACCTTATAAATAACACTACGAGTAGACAAGAAAATCAACGTTGTAAATCTATCAACACAATAAAATTGACGCATTGCTTACACTGGTATATGCCGTTCCCAACTTTGATTCGAATGATTTGAAGAGGGAGGAATTGCGCATGTCATTCCATTTATGTTTCACAGTATCGGCAGTCGCAGCAGCAACTTCAGACGTCTTTTGGAATCTGTAAATTATAGATGTTCTGATTACACACCCGTGAGCCTAAAATCTATATTTTGTACGATGTAGGCTTCCAACAACACCAGGATGCACCACCGTCCTGGTAACAAACTAATGGTGGCAAATCTCGCCCTGATCCACAAGGCCAGTGACTGCCTGTGGAAGTGACCTGGAGCAGACTCTGGTCAAGCTGGTCTGGAAATCCCAGGAAAACACAATGGCTAAAGCAGCAAAACTCCAAAAAAAGGAGCATATGCTGGGTCTGCACAACCAGTGAGGACAGCCCGTCCAAGCTTCCAACAAACGCGCTGACATCACTTGTCAATGTTTTCATATTCACTAAAACACCGAGTTACAGTGCCTTATCAATTTCGAAAAAAATTCTGTTCATTTCCAAACAAATGCCCTATTCCTCGAGCAAACTCGGACGCTTCTTGGATTGAACAGATACAACACCTGACTTCAGTATTAAATCTGATGTAAGATGTGTGTAAATTTAGAACATCAGTTAGGTCATAGGATAGACATGGTAAGTGTAGTGACATACGCTTCAGTATCGGTAACAGCTTTAAGTCCTTTGTTAATATCGTTTCCAAGTTCGACGAAAGGATTGAGTCCTAATTTACGCTTGATCTCAGAGGCATGTTTTTGACGGGCCACAAGAACCTGCTTGAGGGTCTGAATCTCTTCTTCGGTCTGGAAAAGACAAGAAGTATTAGACAAAAAATAGCTCCAGTTGTTGCATACCGTGCTATCGTGCGTTACCTTTCTTAATTCATCTTTAAGAAGGGCGATTTCCGCATCACTTAGCTGCGATTCGCCGTTGTAAGTGTCGAACACAGAGTCGGCAGCTGCAAGAACCTTTCTGAGCAACACAGAAGCAGGTTGCAAACCCAACTATTTCGCTCACTTGGCAAGAAGTCAAAACTTAACATAGTGATCAGATATTAAGCGCGAAAAATAGACTTTTCCCATACATATAGACTGCACCCTAAACCTTAATTTGATCACTAACCCGTAAACAAGTGAGAGGGAGAGGGGCATGCTAGTCGATTTCAAATCGTCTTCAAGAGTTGAACGTTTAGTCCAGAAAATCTTAACAAGTTGTCTTATCCTAGTCCTAATGGCAAAGCTGAAGTTGCTCATGGTCCTACTTTTTCCGAAAACGGTAAAAAAAACTTATACGGAGGGTGTGATATACACGAATGAAGACTTTATTAGCGCCTGCTTGAGCTATTAATGAGTTAAAAGGATAAACCTCTCGGCGTTAATCAATCTTTGAGGGATGCCCATGTACTCAAGTTCACTAACCATTGCTGGAGTTGATTGGATGCATATCTGCCTTTACAATGACTCACGGTTGCCAACCGATGCATCGAGCCAGTGCCTCTATCCTCCCAGACAAGCCTCGTAAAAGTTTACCAAATCCGGAGGAATGGAAGGCTTGGCGGGCCAGGAGCGTGGGGATCGATTCCATGTGTGTCGCAGGGCGCCTCGAACCACTGCGCCATACGAGTCTTATTATGGGACTAACGTGGTTAAAAGACATTCGACATCTTACTACACCGCTCGAAAAGGAGTCTTGTAAAAATTACCATCACCGTCATAACACTGCATAATAAATCAGTAAGGCTCACATTCCATTGCAGGTGTTGCCATGAGGAAGTAGTTGATGGATGGCGGTCTGGGTGGCGTCAATCAACTGCAAGTTTGGTAATCAATAACTCTGTAGCACTAGGCGCCCAAATTGCGATAAAAATTAATGCCGACATGTATCAATAACCGGTGAACGGATTTTCTCACCGCTTCCAATAGTAAAAACGACACACAACAATCTGAACAACACAACGCAGCACTTTTTGAAAGTGTAGGACAGAACGAGGTTCAACAGTGGAAGGACCCTGGCGTGTAGGTTGACTTCTGACCTTCGAAAAGGCAACAAGTATGACTTCGACAATCGCCAAGCACTGCTTAGACCAAACACTAAACAGTAAACAAACTAGTTAGGGCGAATGTCGCGCTCAGACTCGTGATTCTTCGCTTTTTGGTCCTTCACAGATAACTTATACTAAACATTCAGTAAGGTTGACTACTACTTAAATGTTATTTTACACAAGTAATAATGTTAAATTCGTTCATAGATATCTAATTTAAAAGCTATAATTTAACCATGTAACCAGATTTGTCTCTACTTAGTTCAAACCTCCGAGCATGCTCACCTAGCAGATCGATGTAGAAACAAATCTACAATACGACCAGTCAGCACTGAATGGACAGGTTAAAACTGAGATAAGGTATGAATAGCAAGCTAATGCATTAAATCAGAAACTATGTCGGCTTTCGGCTTCAGATGAGTACATCACATACGGGTATTCCTCCATGCCTGCATGAGACATCGTCGACAACAACCTATGTACTCGCAGCTGGCGAAGAACAGTGGGATCCTGACGCTCTGAATAAACTGATACGAATGACTATCGATTTTAAGCCAGCCGAACCAAAACATTACCAAAGCCGAAGAGAGAACTACTTCAACATATCACAAAGCGATGTGGAGGAAAGAGAAACGCCTTCATAGAAAGGCTGGTAAACTAGCTGTCAAAGTGTGGAGGAAAGGTATTGCAGAGTAAGCCATAAGTTTAAAAAAGACCTAGAAGAACCTTTAGAGGAAAGAAAAACGCACCAAAACCATAAACCGTGCGCAGACATACCTTGTCAATCGATTGCGATCAGTAAAGAAATAAGGATCCTCAAGAAAAAAATGCCCAAGAAATGCCTCGCATAAGAACAATACCACAACACAGTGTTATATGATGACGATGGAAATCCTGCAAAACCTGTTATTTTTCATAACAGATGTCTGGAAACCTACTGCTTATCGTGGGTAGCTGGTGGAAACATCAGCGCTCTTCAATCGCTACCCTTCGAAAATCCGACGACGCCACTCGTATCTAGTCGACAATCTAGGGAAACATAGCGAATGCTCGTGCCGAGGAGAAGTGAAAGCCCGCTCAGAGGAGAAATGAGAGAATCCCTGGAAGCATGCACTCCAGAACAACACTGTGACGCCTCGAGGGCACCGGCAATGACGGCATGACACTTGGAACACCGGTTCCTCAGGGAGCACAGGACTTAACACAGAAAGAAAAGAAGCTAGAAAAATGTTGTGTTGGAATGGTCATTACATCTAAGCGCTTAAGAAAACAAAACCAGCATTAAGGGTCAGACGACACGACGATAAAAACAAGGAAATATGGGAAATATGCGAACGAATGAGAGATGACCTGGAAACTGATGTGCTTCCAGACGCATAAAGACAAGGATTCTTACCGTGAAAAATGGAACTACAGCAACGCAGACGAAAAATCGATTGATCCCATTAAACTAAAGGAAATGACTGTAATGCGAGTGGGGAGAAATTCCAGACTCATTCAACCGAGGGAGGTGCAGCAACTGAAAGTCAACTGGTCAGCAGTCGGAAGAGCGAAACGCAGTCAGCCAGTCGCGAACGCCGCACACGGCGGCTCCGCATGCGGCGCGCACTTGCTGGTAGGTTCTGCGCCCGGCTTGCGCATGTGGCCCTCACAGAGTGTGGTTTTAAAGCGTCGAGTTAAGAGCGTTTACTTTGTTTCTCTCAAGGCGTACGGAAGATCAACTTTCGATCCTCGGCCATGATTAACCCATAACTGACTGGCTCCTTTTCTGGAGATCTGGAGAGTTCCCGTGATCATGTGGAGTACAGAGGCGTAGGCTTCAGTGAGGGTGCTTTGTTTCGCAGTCATCTGGCCAAGGAACGGAGTTTCCATTCATTCTATCGTATATTCACTGAAAAGCAGCAGTTCTGTTTAATGAGACTCTTGTTGATATCTGTAAATTAAGGCGTACACTTAACGGAAATGTGACTTCTTGCCGTTACCACGGCCTAGTTTGGATGCTGGTCGAATACTTACTAGGATACCTGGATGGCACGTCCTGAATCGTTGTCGGGGCCCCAGCATAATTTCCTTTTTCTCGGATTTTTGCTGATTTACCCATTGGTTCCCTGGAGTCCCAAGATCAGCCAGACCAAAGTCTGCCCCATGTCCTCACCACCACAGGCATTCGCCTCCCTTGTGGATCCGAGGTAGACTTGCCAACACGCTGCTACTTTGGTACCAGGGGACAGTGGTGGATCCTGGTATTGGTTTACTTTTAGCTGGATTTCCCGACGGAAATGCCGGGCTCGTTCTCAGCTTGGGAGACCCCGCCAGGTCGAATACAGTAGTGGTAAAGATGAAAGTAGTTAAGTACGCAATATTTATCGTTTATTATCTACCCGTCACTCCAAAGAAAGCTACGTCGACCTAGTCCTCTATAGAGTTATATGTCGAGAATTTCTTAATTTACTTTCAATCTACACAATGTATCCTTTCTATATGTTGGTCACAACCATCTTGTCACTTCTTGCAAAGCGCTCCACATTGCTTGTTGAAGTGCGAGAAACGTTTGAGATAGAGCAACAGACAGAGGGAGAGCTGTGTCGTCCCACTAGAAGCAGGGCGAAACTGACGACATGCATGGATTTAGAGTCCGGCTTGTTGTTTCCGTTGTCGTTCTACAAAAAAGCACGACTCAACCTCATGCTGTTTTTAAAATTGCAGGGTCTGAGCCTTGGAAGGAGTACGGGTCAGACTGCGACTGTGGTTTGAGATGTCGAAGAGAGTGAAACGTTGCAAGCTTCATGATAGAAACACGGTAAGCCTTACAAGTGTGCTATGAGAGCAAGAGATTTCACAAGTATTTCTGAGTAATTCTTGATTAATTAGTAGCAGTCTGATAGTGCAGTCACCATAAGTGACCATGGTGAAGCTCCACCTCAGCTGGTCTACATGGAAGGACAGGATCGACAATCGCTGGTGGATTTCATCTCTGAAGCAAGTGAGTCCAGCTTATAAGAATTGAATGGCTTCTCTTCATGAAGAGTTGTACATCTAAGTATAGCTTCCATTTGAATGGTAACTGAGGGTTTTCTTGCTTTGGAGTCATGGAAGAGGCGTGCGAAGAACGTCCCCATTCATAGCTGTCATAGTGCGCGTAGGTTGCTAGCGAGACGGCAGCTGTTTCTGGTTCAGTGTAATTTTTGGCTGAGCTGCATGGTGATAAGGTTGAAGCCTTCAGTTTAGGAAAACCTGGATATGATGTCCACACTGCATTGTGGCTCAGTACCTAAGAACACCTCTTAGCTGCGATCAGCCGGCAAACTCTTGGGCGAAACTCATTCTGTTACTCACTTTTGTCTCAAGTATGCACTGTTTTTTCAGGATTGCGAGTCAGGGATTCGCTTTTGGAGGGTGATTCTGTCTTATCATTGTTGCAGAGCCTGTGTGCTCTTCTGAATCACCGTGGAAAAGCATCCTTGAAACAGGTGTGTCATTGTATGGAACACAAGTTATTTCATTTCTCTTAACTCCTCACAACCTCCACCTGTTTTCCAGAACCTCTTAGTAGAGTTCTTCCGATGTATGGCTAAACACGGCATTCCGTTTCGATACGTTGTTTGGTCTGCTACTAGCAAATTTCTCTTTAGAGAGGAATATCTTGAGAAATATATTCCTACGATGAATCTCGAGCTTTTGTAAGTTTTTAGCAATTTCTATTTCCTTACTAATAGAGGCTTAGACAGCAAAAGTGCCTTAATTTGCGATGAGTTACAGTGTGGTATCTAAGTATGGCTCTACATACAGTACTTTCACTGGGCTATATAAGAAGATTTGCTTTCAGCTATTTTGACCTCCCAATGGTTTCCCGCCTAATCGCGGATGGGGGATGTACCTGGGTGTCGGGTTGCGATACACAGCGGGGAGATTCATCCTCCCATCAGGATCTTCCAGGCTGAAAAGGAGTTCGACGTTTCTATCAAGAAGGCCAGCTAAGAGTAAACCAGCAACAAGATCCACCACCGTCCTGGTATCAAACTAGTCGCTTGGTGGCAAGTCTCCCTCTGATCCACAAAGGCGGCGGCTGCCTGGGCTGGTGACGACCTGAGGCAAACTTTGGTCAGGATGACCTCGGGGCTCCAAGGCACCATAATGGTTAAACCAGTATAACTCCGAAAAAGTGGAAATTTTGCTGTCATTCGCACAACGAGTGACGACAGGCCATTCAAGTATCAAGTAAGTAAGTATCTTGAGTAAACAGTAAGGATTTTTAACTTGTCACCTAGTTCCGAACACTACTTTGAAAACTGGGCTCTGAAATTGCATAACTTTCTTAACAACGTAGTGGTGCTTTTTTCAATAGCTACATATCTCTTCAGCTTAAGTTCGCCTATTCAAAAAGATTAAAGTTCAAGTCCATGAATATAATCTCGTAGCGTTCTCTGTTAAGAAATGTTATTCTAGTTTCCGGGATTTGTCTTGCCTTGAATATAGACTACGCTCCTACATTTGGGGCTTTCATCATATTCAGATGGGTACGATTACGACCACATCTCGAGCACCTTCTTTACTGTAAGTACTTTTTTTTTAGTCTTATCATGCTTCAGTTAAAAGAATGGCAAGAAATCCAGTGACGTTTAGGTGTTTCGCTTAATAGATTCAGTTCATAATAGAGCGGTTTGTATTACATTTTTCAGCTCATCAAAAGAGTCTGCGAATATTTCCACAATGAGGCATCAACTTTGCTATGCTTGTAGAAGCCTCAACTATAGAGCGGTTGTGGCTAGTTTAGGTGAGCTCGATTCGATTCGCCGTTGCGATGTTTCATTTTTTTTTTGGCGAACATTTCGACCAATTTGCAACGGTCATTTGACATATTTTACAAGATCCTGATCTATTATTCTGAACTGAAAATGAGTGACGTAATCAGTTGCGCTCTGTTGATTAAATTGCAATTTATAACCATAATGATGCTGAGATATTTGCAAAACTCCAGACTGCTGTGTCTGCGGTGGAAACCGAACACCCTATTACTCTTTTCGGGGGCTAACGCGCTCACCACATCACCATGCTAATCCTTCGTTTCGCCTTTCTCGCAGCCGTGTTTTTGACCTGTAGAAGCTATTAATTCTTTCAAATGGATTGCGTTCTAAAATTATTGTTGCAGCGAATTCCGAAGTTCTCCGCATGACCTCGGAAAGGATTGAAAAACCTAGAGAACATCACCATGGCATAGCTTACAACATTCAACATATGATTTATTTCGATAGTCCTTTAGTGATATGGGTGGCAGTGCAAGCGACATTGGCAATGAAGCATGTGAGTTCATTGCTGGTTTCGAATAGGGCCTTAGACTAGGTCAGTCTTCTTTCTTTTATTAAAAATTGTTTCTCTTTATATAATATTTCGAAGCGATAATTTATTCAGTGCATTAAAATTGAACTACCCTTCCTGACTTCTCTATTAAGGGCTCAAAATTCGACGTATGTGGTCGACTTGTAATGTTGGCAACAATGCAGAGCTTAATCTACACGACAACGGCGTGGGTTTACCATATATTTATTTTCCTTCTGTCAGTCGGTGTTTCTGATAAAAAATGTTGCGCGATAGAAATCTGCAGCATCTATGAAACATGATCTCACTGTAAAGTGATGACTAAGAGTCAGAAGAGAATACTGGGTAGGTGTTGAGCGACAGTGCTGAAAAGTAGTTGTCAGATTTATCCCTTGGAAAAGAAAGAACCGAAGTGACGTTTGAGGGTTGGAAACCTTATGGGCAATATTGGGAAGTTATCGAGGGCACTTTCTTTGCTTGAGAACCTAATTAAATGTCCATTTGATAAGTATTTTTCAGTTTCAGGGTCAAGAACACTATCTTGATGCAGTTGTGTGAAATCCTTATTGCAACAATATTCCTAGGAAGTCCAAACCACACTTCTGCTGTCGTCGCGCTAGAGAGCAGAGTTCATCGTTATAACAAGAACTACGAAGTGAGTTTCATTCACATTTTCTCTCGCTGGTGATGTGGGTTATATATTGGTGGAAGGTCGTATATATTGCACTTTTAGAACTCGTCAGTTTGGAATGCTTACAAATTAATAGCTGAGTACGAAGAATGGAAAAAACGACCTGCTTTTGGCGGAATGATACTCAACACAGCGCAGTCACTTGTAGAAATAGCTGAATGTAATGTTTCTATCTTTCTTGGTGTTCTTCTTGAGCAACTATTATATTATCATTGTTATCAACAATTATATTACATTTTGTTCTTTACTTTTGCATATTATGAATGCGTGTAGCACAGTGCTCGGAGGCTCCCTACAACACACGTGGGATCGATCCCGCGCCCAACGCTTGCCAAACCTTCCATCCGTCCGAGGTCGGAAGATTGGTACCAGACTTGTCTGCGAGGATAGCAGCACTGGCACGATACATCGGTAGACCACCGCGAGTCATTGTAAAGGCCACATATGCATTCAGTCACTTCCAAACGATTCTTATTGAAGTCGAATCCATGGCGCATCTCTCGGGACTGATCAACACCAAGAACATTTTAGAGCTTTTATACTATACTATTACATGTTATTACATATCATTATATACTATTATTGCTCTTCTATTTGCTGTATTTATTTATTCAGTTTTTATTGGTCTCCGCCTTTACTTATGTGACAGATAATATTTGGTTGATTGTGTTTACAAAGTTTTCACTACAGTTGTTGCAAATATGCGGTTTTCGGATATCGCAATGTTAACTTTTTTATTTACTGCCTACTAGAATTTCCACAGCAAGGTGTTAGGCAAAGCCAACCACAATTATGCTGAGATATTCGCAAAACTCCGAGCAATAGGTGTCTGTGGTGGGGATCGAATACGCTATCATCCTCTTCGGGGCTAACGCATTCGACTGCTGCTGCTCTTAACTGGGTTTCGTGCCTATATGGGCTTCCCAGAACAATTCTGTTTACGGATGATTGCTGATGGTACTGGTAGATAGGAAACTAGCTGTGAGAAAAGCGAAACGATGGACGTCCATGATGCGGTTGTGAACGCGTTAGTTCTCAGAAAGGGTAACAACGTGTTCGTTCCCCACGGCAGACACCTGCGGTCCGGAATTTTGCAAATATTTGAGCATCATTGTGGTTATTTTCAGTTATTCTATTATTCTCTCCTTTCTTATTCTTAATGCTTTCGTCTGTATAGTGGACCGCCTAGTACTATGAATGTTGACGTTTCAGCAGTGCCCTGTCACGGAACATTGTTTTTGGAGGCAGCATGTCAGATATGGGCAAAACAAGGACGATGCGAAGATAAAATGTTGTTTTCCTATTTCTATTTTTGATTTTAGTCACATATACCAACATGTTTGGCCTAAGCACTTCATGCTGTTGTGAAATACATAACTGATTTAGATCGAATGCTGTCTCGAAACTACTGTCCAAATGCCCTCAGTTACTTGGACGAGTTGTTCGATTTCTAAAGGCGATCAAACTCGATCACGAAATCGAAGTTATTGTTGCAGAGGTGGAGATAATTGTATTTGCTTTCTCTTTTACCTGCATCTAGTTTCGTAGCCTTAATTTTGTTTGAATTTCTTTCGTGTTTCGTGATTTAGGTTTGTCAAGAAAGAGATAAAGCTTTATCACCCAGTGATTATGTGTGGTTGGACTGGTGTCAACCACGGATTGAGCATCCAGAAAGGTGACTACACTATAAACGGTTTCTTCTACACTACCATGAGCACATTTAATATTTGGAAACTGCCTCTAGATACGGCAAGAAGACAGAAGTACTGTCACAATGCGCCAACGTGCTTTTCCGATTTCTCGATTACGGATCGAATCGCAACTCTACACGAGCATGGCTGATGCTCGACAGAGCCTTTAAATTCGTGGATACTGTTCAAATGAACGCGATTTGGACTGAGAGATACGATTGGTGGCCTCAATTCCACGTCGTACATCTACCTCCAGAAGCAGAACTTCGACGAGCTGAGTTGCTGGTTGCATTAGGCAAAGTGCCGGTTGAATGATATCTTATTGAAGAACGGAAGTGTTGTCAATTTTCCACAAATAGGATAAAGCTCACAGCGTTGTCGTCCCCTATGTAGCCGTTTCGCATACCATTTATATACTTATTTGTAGAGTTAATTTCGATTAAGCCTGACAAACATCATATCAGGGCAACAGGGGGAAATCTGTGTTGTACCTTTGATTGACGACTCCTACCATTTTGCTGCGCTCTCTTCCTAATATTTTCCACAATAATGTGGTAGTAAACATTTCATTGATGTCTGCAATATGAAGACACCCTCTACGTCCCATGAAATGTTTACAATTTTTAAAAGTTTTGCTAGAGTGTTCAGCTTTTAACTCTGTAAGTTGGAATTTCTATACGAGTTAGATTCAGCGGTTACTGTGTCAACTAATAATGTTTGCATATAATGTCATACATGATTCTGCAAGATAAAGATGTTGATAAGTGTACTTTTGTTATTTGTTTTGCAAAAAAGTGTTGGAGATGCATATACCTCGTTTTTGGCAGGTAGAATCCGATTTAGTTGCTGATAGAACGGTGGTAGGTTCAGAAGCAATACAACCTCAAAGTTTTAAATTCCAAACATAGGGCGAGTAACTGCGTGAGCTTCCATCGTCACAGCCGATGGACTGGTTTGCAATAGATGAATATAAGTTTATAATCACGCTAGGAATTTAAATGACAGTGTATTGCAGTGGGAGAATGTGAATCAGGGGCTCGGCGTTTCCATCGGGAAGTCCAGCTAAGAGTAAACCAATGCCAAGATCCGTCACCGTCCTGATATCAAGCTAGTCTAATGGCGGCAAATCCCCCTCTGATCCACATGGACGGTGACTGCCTGTTGTGGTGACGACCTGCGGCAGACTTTGGCCAGTGTGAACCCGGGGCTCCAAGGAAACACAAGGCCTAACCCAGCAAAACTCCGAAAAGCGGAGAATATGCTGGGGTCGCACAGTTAGTGAGGACGTGTCGTCCAAGCATCCAAGTATTCAAGTTGTTTTAGCACTATTATTCGCCAAACAATTCAAAAAAGAAGAACAGAACGTGGTACGAAGCTTCCACGTAATTCTCTGTCTTTGTGCATCTTCATGTAGACCCGCTCGTCTAAACATAGTTTGATATGGTCCAGACGTTCTTCCACAGTGCGCGATAATATCTGCAAATAAAAATAACCTGGAATGCATTACTGAAATACAAAGACGACCCGTCTTCACCGGTCGTGCGGGCCGCAGCATATTCTTTAGTTTTGGGGTTTTGCTAGTTTAGCCGTTGTTTCCCTGGAGTCCTAAGGTCAGCCTGGCCTCTGCTTCAGGTCGTCACCACCACAGGCAGTCGCTCCCTTTGTGGATCACAAGGATATGTGGCACTGTGCGACTAGTTTGATACCAGGAGGGTGGTGGATCCTAGTATTGGTTTACTATTAGATAGGCTTCCTGATGGAAACGTTGGACTATTTCTCAGCTTGTGAGGTCCTGTCGGGGAGATGAATCCCCACTGTACATCGCGGCCCGACACCAAAGAACACTTCCTAGCCACGATGAGGCGGTGAACCGTTGGGAGGCTAAAGCAACTGTGAGCAATAAAATAGAAAAAGGGTAAAGCTCTGGGCGTTGATCCTCTTTAAGGGATGCGCCATGCGTTCGACTTCATTATGAACCGTTGGAGGTGGTCGAGTGCATATTTAGCCTTTACACTGACTCGCAGTGGCCTACCGATCTGTCGAGCCAGTGCGACTATCCTCCCAGACAAGTCCGGTACCAAATGGTCGATCCCAGAAGCTTGGTGAGTCTTGGGGTGGGGATCGATCCCATGTGTATAGCAGGGCGCCTCTGACCACTGCGTTGTACGTGCCCCCACTGGAAACAATGTGTGCATTAATAGTTATTAGTTCTGTGGAAGTTCACCTTTACGTTCTATTTCATTTGCTTCCTTTGTCTTGAAAGGAGATAGTATGGCATACGAGAACAAAGTTTCGTGCCTTAACGTCAGTTATACCAAATTGGAATCGTCCTTTGATAAACTTAAAAGTGTATCGTTAGATATAACTTCAATGATGCTGGGATATTTGCAAAACTCCGGACCGCAGGTGTATGCGGTGGGGAACGAACGCGCTATTGTCCTTTCCGGGGAGTAGCGTAATGCATACCCTCCCGTTAAAAAGAGTAGGCAGTGAATAATAAGTTAAAATTGTATCGTTAGAGCTTAGGAAGCGTTGAGATAATGAGTTTTCTTGCTTCTCTGTTAACACTCTTTTAAGCTACATGGAACGATCCAACGTTTCAGCTGATGGAGACACAGGAGGCTCCAGTTTCTCCTGTATATGCTGTGTATTTCCCTGCCGATCTTGCAAAATCACCCCGTAATGTTTTCCTTACTCTACAAGAAGCTGTGAAGTTCGCAAATTCACCAGAGGGAAAGTCTAACGGTATGTTGGCGTGTTTCTGTAATATGTGCTTAGTGATTTATAACTACAATAATGCTGAGATATTTGCAAAACTCCGGACCGCAGGTGCCTATGGTGGGGGCCGAACACGCTATTACGCTTTCTATAGGCTAACGCGTTAAGAACCACACCATGAATGCCCTTCGTTTCGCCTTTTTTAGCGTGTGTTTTATAGAGTCCTCAGTCTTAGTGTTTTATAGCTTTTTTATAGAGCCTCTGGAAATGGTAGTAATGAGGTTCGATACTCTTTCTCCTTTCTTCTTTTTTCTTGGTTTCATCTTTTTCCTTCCTTTTTCCTCTTTTCTTTCTCAAATTTCCTTTTTGAAGAACGAGATGTTGGAGGTTTCTTTTCAGACTTTAGAGGTATTTAGTAAGAAAGCAGAAGTAAGCAGTTATGAGAAGGTGAACACCAGACAAATTTAGCACGCATTTCGATCTGATTAAAGCTTTTTAGTAGAGTCGTTTCATTTTCTAGGCGCTCGCTTCAATCGCTTCGGTACACCTAAAGAAGCTATGGATTTTTTTGCCTCTGGAGAAATTCGAGCCCCACAGGAAACTACTACACCAGTGATTCCTTCCGAACCGATTATTCCATTTCCGTCTGTGAGTCGATATCAGATGAACGATCTCAAAAAAGCCATCGAAAAAGGGACAGTAGAGGCTGTGAGGTGAATGTTTTATCAGCTGTCCTACTAAGGGTAAAGTTGTATAAGAAGCAGATTCTTTTCTAACTTTTCTCTATCTCAGTGATCTTATCGACTCGAATCCTCGATTTCTTGTCAACACGAGTGGTGACACGGCAGCTATAGTAATGGTATTTATTCTTCTTATGGCTCATAGTATTTCACTATTCTTATCCATCACATCTTTCATTCGTGTGAACCAATACACATCTACTCTTTATTTAGTCTTTTATTCAGGCGAGAGATTTCGAGCCTTTTTTGACCCCTATCCGGTGAGTATTGTTATAGGAAGGCTTTCGGTTCAATGCCTTACACATCGCAGCTCGTCATGGAAAAGCTGGTGTAGTGGAAAAAATTCTCCAACTGATTGGCGACAAAAGATTTCTGGCGGTTGTCTATGGAACAAATGAAGATGATGCGCAGTTACGCATGGAGAACATTGTCACGTCGTACCTAAATACTCCTGATAAGGTTCAATTCTTTTTAATGTTTTTTTATCCGACCTCTTTTCATATTTACTGTGCGTGTCGCAGCACTTCTCACATTCGATTCGTTTCCTCGTTCCAGCATCCAAGAAGGTCTTCCAACTTTTTCATGTGGTGTCGGCTTTGAGAATTTCCATATCATCTCGAATATCGTCGAATGCTGGTCGAGTCGGTTCTCTCTAGAGTCCTAAGACGGATTTGCTGGAGCGTTTGCAGTTGTATTGGAAAAAGTGGTTTTTTCGCAGACAAGTCCGGTACCAATTTCCCGATTCCGGAGGGATGAGGGGGTTGGTGGGCCTGGGGCAGGACCGAACCAGCACCATGCTCGTGATGGTCGGCATCACTACCACAAGGTCCCTATACCAAGGTTCAAATTAAAGGGTATTTTTGAGGTTTTGTGTTGTAATGTTAGTAGCTTAATGGGTCTTCATTAAGGGAAACTGCGAAACACCGCTTCATCTTGCAGCGAAGTTTGGACATGTAGACGTTGTAAGATTGCTGGTGAATCAGCCTTTGATGCAAAAGCATCTATTGAATAAGTAGGTTGCAATCACAATGTTATACCTTTTTTTTCTGCCTACTATGATTTCGCCGCAGGGTACTAAGCGAAATACAACCACAACGTTGCTGAGATATTTGCAAAACTCTGGACCGCAGGTGTTTATGGTGGGGAACGAACGCGCTATTGTCCTTTCCGGAGAGTAACGCGTTCACCACCACACCATGCGGGTCCTTTGTTTCGGCTGTCTCTCAGCTATTTCTATCGATCTTTGCCACAGCAATCACTCGTCAGCGGGATTGATAGGTTGCATTCAAAGCCTTTCAAAGGTGGTTCTGTTCACTGAGCACACATAGGTTTGGGACGTTGCTCCTAATCACAGGATTGGTGAAGTGAATATATGATAACAGCGTTAAGTAGAAAGCTAGCTGAGAGAGACGCTAAGCAAAGGCCTCAGTGGTGCAGTGTGTAGCACGCGAGCAACCCGAAAGGATAATCGTGGTTCGATCTGGCCCAGGGTCCAAATTTTGCGAATATCTCAGCATCGTTATGGTTATAAAGTGAATATAGTTTTTGTATAAATGCACAGGTGGGCAAGTATTGTCACTTCAAAGTTGCATTAGCGATCCTTGAGATGGAAATCGTAGGATTTGATACGTAGGGGGGCGGTTTTGGTTGGTCTGGAGCGGATCGAACTAGCGCTATGCTAGTTATGACCGGCATCATTGCCACTTTGCTATCGGCTCCCTTGATGTGTAGTAGACGTGAATTATCGGCATTTGCGTAAATTAAGAGATGTATGAGATACTGCTTGAAACTACTTTTTTTGGATCGTTAGTATTGTATCAAATGACTGATTGAAATGTATGGCTCCAGTTATTTACAGATGTTACACTGGTTCGCTCAAAGGGAACTGTTCGGTTATTTCGAGTTTTTGTTAGAACTTTAGGAGCATCTGTAGCCCAACATTTTGATAAAACGATTTAATGCTTGAATACTATGTTATTCTTCTCCCTACTAAGTTCCTTTTCTCTATGACCAGTAGATAATTGTGTCGATTTAGAGATGGGCAGATAGCATTGGATGTCGTGTGCTCCAGATATGCTGGAGACGATAGGCGAAAGCGTAAGGAGGAAATTGAACTGCTGATTGGTGGTTTCTTTGTTGCCGTATATCGCTCAACGGACAACACATTGTCGCCAAAAATAGTGGTCTCGGAAGATTTCCCGAAATTCACACTTTCTAATGATGTAAGTTGTGGTTGTAATTATATAATAGATTCCCTCACATTCTCAAAAATGTTCAACATCAGAATTTATTTGCTACAATCCGTTGTTTTCAAACCATCTATAGTTATCTGTATTCATATGTGGTTTTACTACTGGGTAGGAATTTTCTTTTAGTAGCACTTTTATCTTGATGATATCAGCGAGGTTTATTCAGTGCAGTACTCACTGATGTTCCGGCGGCTTCGCCCTCTTTGGAGCTTGGAATATTCAAATTGACACGCAATCTGCTCAGCCAAACCCATTAATAACCTCAACAGACAAACACATAAATTTCCACTCGCACAGTGAATAGGTGCTTTTAAACACGCAATTTGTAAGCTTCCCAGTTATTTGGTGGAGATAAGCTGCACAGCGCCTAGTTTATTTGGTTTGCCGATTAGATATTCGTTTATACGGAAGCAGAGTGGTTTACCCGTTTCGTCAATATGTTTTTCCCCACACGCTTTACAAGAGGAAAGGTACACCACATTCGAAGTCATGCAGTTTCCGTTCCTCCGTTATGGAAAATTATGCAACTGTGCGTTCGTATAGACAATCATATAGGCGGTTACGAACTAACCGAAGTCTTGAAGTGTTCGGTGGTATTTGTATCACTGCTACTGACTTGTATAAACCGACCCTTTTTAAGCAGCGTTTCATGACTGTGCTTATTTCGTTCGAAATGAGAGTCAAGATTAACTGGACTTTGTTTTCAGCAGACTAATCTTTTTGGGCATGACTTTTCCAATAAACTTATTCCGAGGAGTTATCACTTCGTAGTCATTGGAAATGGCTATTTTTTTGGGCCAAGCCCGGGGATATTCTTCCTTCTGATCTCTTTCTGTAGACACACTGCCGGCTGCACGATTAATTGGCTTTTGGTACCATTTGTTGGTTAGGCCGTTTTTGGACAGCGCAAGTTGATTTGAAAGTTGAAAAACGAAAGCCAGTCTTTCTTCGCTTTTTCTCTTGTGAAATTTATGTGATGTGACTGCTGGTTTAGCGATTCGAAAGATTTCTCCATCTCCTCTTCTGTTGAGCAGATGCCAAGACAGTCGTCGATATACCTGCGGTGGAGTTGTAGCCGGAGACCAAGTACCCGGACTTCAACTTTAAGACATGAGCGCAATGGCAAGGCTGGTGCCGGTCGTTGTCCCATTGGCAACCTTTCATTCGCGCAGTATTTTCCAGACTATTGAAAGGCTGAGCAGTTTACGCACTACTTTAAGAAGGCTATGAGGTACTGAATTGGCAACTCATATATGTTTACTGCTCCTCTGTGTTCCAGAAGGAGCTCATGCATAACTTGCATTGCGTAGTAATTTGACAGTTCAGCGTAAAGAGATGTAATGACGCCGTTACGTAGATGTTCCAGGAACATTTTGGCATTCTTTGGACTTGAATATTTGGATTTGTCTTTCCTCCTTTCTCATATGTTTCGTAAGGATCGAGTGTTGGTTTTCTAATTTCTATAGTTATTAATATTTGAGCAAATTGCAATGAAATACGATCGGAGGAAATTGCAGATCAATTCGGTGAAAATTGGCAAGCATGGGTCATTCATGAAACGTTATCTTTTCGAATGTTTATTTTTCCATGTGAAGCTTTCTTACTACACTTTTTGTGTTCATTTGGCCCCTTATTCAGCACAGACAGCTTAGTAAGCATTGGCCTAGAAAAGGTATTTTGTATACCTATAGATATACAAAAAGTTTTCTCGAACGGGTTTCTTGTCTAGCTCGGATTCAGCGGCGGATACTAATGTCTCTGCTTTACGAGCACATCAGAGTTCAAGGAATGGCGACACGCGACACAATTGCCACAATATGGTGCTAAATAACAGGCGAAGTTCGTATGCACAGATGTGTATTTGGTACGCTGGACGTCTAAACTTGCATAAAATTCACATTCGTGACTGGATAGAGTGCATATTTGGAAAAACTATAGATTGCTAACTATTATTCCCACTATCTTCCACTGGTATTGTAAACTTTGTGCGCGATAACATTCGCATTAGACTCTACAGGTCCTAATTTGCATACCGTTTGAAACCGTCACCGCTTCAAAGCAATCAACCTCTTCAGTTGCAACTCTACATGGTGCACAGTTTACAATCTGCAACCCTTTCGAAATTCTGGTTGGCAGGACCATTAGTTGTAGGGGTTCTGAACAATCTCCTTTCTCAGGAATATGTTGCGTAGTCGGATAGATGTAGATGAATTACTAGTCAAATCTGTAACCTTAATTACTTTGCACCCAAGAACATCGCCTTTAAAAGCATAACAATTGCTCCAGTAATCTTACGCTTAGCTTACGAATCCCCATCTTAAAATACAGATGAATGAACTTTCTCTTTCACAGCTCTCATTTTTCATTACTCATCCTTCTCTTATCAATGTCTATCGATTTTTTTTATAAGCAACACTAAGAGGGGTGGCTGATTTTCTAAGGGGCTCTTTGGCCGGCTTGAGTCACGTCGCGTGAGTGACCGAAAATTAGACGTATTCACTAGCATTTTAGATATATGTCCATTTTTTGAAAATATAGTCCCATTATAAGGCACATTTGATGTAGGATTTATCTTGTAGGGATACTGGTGAAATACTGTTAAAAGGTCGCAGAGTCAAGACGTGCAAAATTTTTGCAAGTGTTCTATTCTGCATTAGATGCCCTGACTCCTTCAACAGTATACGTGGTATACACTGTATCGCTGTGGTAGTTGTGAATAGATGTATGTGCTCCTCTCAATAATTCACTTGGTATCATTAAAACGATGGCTTGTTGGTTTCCATTCTGCGTTCCAGTCTGTTGTATGAAGCCAAGTAACTACTGTACTAGTTTAATTGTGGCTACCGACCTTCGTAACGTATTTAGTTTCGCAGAAAAGCTGGTAAAATTTTTTTCACGTCGATTTGAAGCTGTGCTATAGTGTTCATAAGGTAGCAGGAATGATGTTATGCTCAAATGGTTTTTTACCTGGCCAGAGAAGACGCTTTTTTTTTTACGATGTATCGTAGTACCTGTTGTAAAATAGAGTTGCTACAGAGCTCCTTTCTTTTTCGACCCTAGTCTTCATGTTTTAGCTTGTGACTCACCTACCATCGCTTAAAGTTGTGCGGTACATTTTTTACAGGAGACTGGGCTTTCCCTGCCCTTGTTATGGGAGTTCAAACTAACGGGATGTGCTGGCCCATTTGGCTCTGAGAAAAAGGCTACAGAATTCCTGAATAATTGGGTTGGATTTGACAAACACATAAAGCTTTCAGACAATGATAAGGTAAGGTGATTTTTTGCACCATTCGTCTTCCTTTTTTTCTTTCATCCTTGGCTTGTGCATCATCTGGTTTAGGGATATGAACGAGTTGGACGTGAGCTTAGTGAGAAATCAAATGTGAAATGGGTAGAGTCATGGTGTTTTCTCGATCGAATGGTGGATTTACGTTCTGAAGAGGGATTAACGCTGCTTAATTGCTATCTCAGCAATTTGAAACAAAAGAATTTTTTTTCTCGTTGCCAGTCTAATGGTCTAGAAAGACGGCTGTCGTTTGAGGACAGTGATGGTTTGTTAAATTTTTTTCTGTATTCGTTTAATACATCTAGAATCACTTGATTCATTCATTGCAGTCACTATCACAGTTTGTGTTTAATAAAACTTAGGAAAAGAAATACTTACCCGTTCTCTGAGAGTTCAGTTGAAGTTTGATTTTAAAGAATTTTGAATCCTATTTACGGGCACGTCCAGTTTTAAGTGATTGGCAGAGAAGATCATGCTAATTTTTGCTCCATGTGTGATGTGCATTGAACTCGACGCGTACAGTTCATTGTACGTTCTTGACCACACTCTATGACCACATTCTTTTTCACGTCTTTCTAGTCCTGTATTATGGTCTTTATATGATTTTTTTTACTCCATCCCATGTTTCTATTTATTCTACAAACCGTACATAATACGCCATATATCTCTCTATATTTTTGAAACAATTACTCTTGGGTATGGTGGAAAAGACTCATCACCAATCATAGCGATGTGGTAGTCATCTTGACAATATACCTTGGTATCTTTATCCATCTTGTGTTTTCTCCGGCACTTAATCCAAAACGTTCGTGGAACAATGTTGGTGCAAAATCTCGGTGACCTTGCCTCCAGTAACGGTCTATGTAGTAGGAGATCGCATGGAACAATCGCCTCGCCGAACGAACAAGCTCGTAAGGAAAGTGGTTTTTCGGATCAATCTCTAAGTTCGAAGTGGAGAGTATATCTTTCAAACACGATAAGCTCAATGGAATGAAATGTCGTACGGTATACAAATGGTAATCGATTTCAATTTGCATTAATCCAGTCATTAACCAGGTCCTTCCAGAATCGAAAAATGAGTACCAAAGTTGTCTGTGAAAGAGCTTTCTCAGATCCATATATTGCGGCGACTGCTTTTGATGAGAACTTTTGGACGCGATAACCGAACTATTCTAAAATTCCAAGGAGAATCAATTCAATAAGGAGGACGAAATCGTCAAGTACTAGCCAAATCCTACGCGAAATCGGGAGACCTTGATTATGTGTGAGAGAAAACAAATTGAATGGAAGCAGTGTTAGCATCCAACTGTCAATATGTGTGAAGGCAGTTTATACGAATATTCAAATAAAAAGAACTAAGCGTTCGATGTTGACCAATTTTTCATGGACACGAAAAAGTGCCAAACGATGTTTCATATTAGCTTTTATCCTAGCAAATAACTCTGGTACTGTTTTGGCCTTGGTTAACCTATAACGGTGGCGCATTGTTTAGTATGGCTGGCCCAGTGGGAAAAAAGTTATACTGTAGGCGTTGATCAATTCCAGAGGGATGCACCGTGAATTCGACTTCATCAAGCATCGTTAAAGGTGGTTGAATGCATATGTAGCTTATACAGTGACTGACGGTGGTCTGCCAACGTATTCAACCAGTGCTGTTATCGTCCTAGACAAGTCTGGTACCAATTTCCGAGGCCGACCCCGAAAAGATAGAAGGCTTGATGAGCTTGGGGCGCAGGAGTCGATCCCGTATATATATATATATATGTATATATATATATATATATATACATACATTGGAGGGTACGTCTAACCTCTGCGCTGCGCGTCCCCTGCTTCGCTCAGTGGCATACGAGCATTTTTCGTTGGTTGCGGACCTTCTAGTTTTTTCACTACAAAAATAGTTTTTCAATAACTAGAGGATTTGAGGTTTGTGAGTATGACAGAATTTTAGAAGAAACTTTGCTCTATCGTTCTAAGGCCATGAATGAATGATATTTACGCTATTATTTGCCATGTGTTACTGTGGTCCCTTATGCATTTCACTGCAAACAGCAGTTGGATGTATTCTGCACTCTGTGTTCAGTCTATTTCTATGTTTTTTTTTTAATATCCGCACATTCAATATAACCAGCGCAGTTATTAAAATGAGATAAGTTATTTGTTAGTGAAATTACCGATCAACGAACATTTTCAAAAAAATGTTTCTTAGAGCATCATATGTGGAGAATGGATTTTCTGGTCTCACCTTTTCTATTTTGATTTGATTTCAATTAGCTCTCGAATGAATATACATAATGCGGTAGAAAAAGTTCTGGAATCAAATGAACTCAAAATGAGCACTATAGAGTCCATATCGTCCTCTGGGGCGAGGAGGTATGGACACTACAGTATCCATGCAGGGCGTTATATGTTAACATTGACTTCTGTGGAAGTCGCAGCGTGCCAAAATAATAGCTCGTTTCTAATTTTAAATCAATGTATCCTAGTTCGTGGTAAATTTTGCAGTTTACGATAAAAACTATTATTGTCCACAAAACATTTCCTACAGCATAGAAGCTGGTTTTTTGCCGAGATGAAATTGTGATATTCTGGAGCTCATGGCATCATTTTTAAAACAATTTATTGATTTAAGGCTCACATTTTGGACAAGGGATCAAATGAACTGACGGAATTCCCTCCAGTGGGGTACCATATGGTGTCCCAATCATATCTTTGTGCGTGCCATGCCACTGTGCTTCCCGATTGGAAGTTTTAAGAAATTAAAAAGTCATTAAAAATAAATCTCGTTATTTTTGTCGAAGCGTTAATTCTAAATTTATTTAAAGTTGAAAAGCCACTATGTAAAGTCATATATGCGATGAATCCGATATAGTGCGGCTCTTCCAAAAATCTACAACGTTGCGAACTCCTGAAATACTCTGGTGATCGAGAAATTATCATCAATTTTCGAAAAATCAGCTTCTTCGAGAAACGGTTAACCGCGGGGCGAGGAATCGGAACTTTGTATATGTTAATAATATTATGATAAGTGATCGCTTTTGTATCCTTTCTCGAACCTCGCCCAGCATAACAACTTTATTAAATGAACTGTCAACTGCATACGAAGTTGTAACAAAAAAACTGTGCAACACAAACACTCGGAATGGAAATCCACTGAGTTTAGCGAGTGTTGTCGTTAATGGGATATTTTCGCATATGATTGTTGATTGAATAACTCTGCTTTTTTCCTCGTCAAGAAATAGTTCCCTTATGTAGTGACGTATCCCACCACTTCCCTGTGATTATTTATGTTTTTTTTTAGATCAACGGGACCAATTGGTCAGTGGTAGCATACAGGATTACGGTGAAAATGAATTCAAAGATGCCTTGGAATTTGTTGATGAGGCTGATGAGATTTTCAACGGTTCTCTTGCTGGACTATCTGTGCAATTTGGCGCATTATCACTCCATTCACCATCGGCTATGCCGTTGTGTGCTGAGTAGGTATTATCAAATGGCTTGCTTCTTGTCCTTGTGAATATGATTTATTCCGGTCATCTGTAGCTGCAAGATAGGTGTATTGTTGAAGAATTTGCAATGTCTCCATTTCTAGGTGCGTTCTAGATGATCTGGAAGATTTTTTCACACCACCATCTACACCACCTGTAGTTTTTCTGCTCGATAACCCAACAAAGGTGGATAATGATGTGATGACTGCATTATCTGGCCTTCCACAAGAAAAGGTGTGAGGATTAAGACACTTCTTATTTATATTTCCTTAGTATGCAGTATTCTAGAATGTTATAAAAGTGCACATAAACCCTAGACAGCGGGAGTAGTTTTTCGAAAACACATTAACTTTTCCATTAATATAGTGGAGAAGTTTAAAATGTGTTACAGAGTTGTGAAAGAGACTTTGTTGTATCGTCTTAAGAGCATATAGAATATCTATAACAAATTACTGACATTAGCGGGTGGGGTAGCGCGGTGGTTAGTGATGCCATCGATGAGGAAGCAACGACGTTAGTTGGGCACCCTACCCAACACTTTAACCCATCCCACGTGTTAACGCCCTAGTGTGGATATCTCCATGATTGCAAGCAGAATTGACTCGACGAGCATTCTACGAAATTCATGAGGAAGATGAAATCGTTAAGCCAAAAGCAACACGCCAAATGTTCGAGGACATTGTGGATGATAACTGGTAGGAAAACTAAGGAAATGGAAGATCTACTAGGATCCGCACAGTAGATGTGATCACTGATCTGTAACGTAAAAAATTATTGTTTTAAACTCGTTTAGAATTCAAGTTCCCAAAAATTTTGAAAACGAAATTTATATTCTTAAAATCTTTCACACGTGCGCTATAGTCGTACAAACATTTGCGAAACAATCGTGTTCTTCAGCAGAGCCACGAGCATCCCCCCATGATCACAATTGCACAAGAATTGAGGAGTTTTCCCAAGAAGAACAGCAACTCCTTGTGAGACACAGCTCCTCAAAGAGAATGAAATTGACATCTTTATCTGTTGAAGAAATATTCCTAACCCAACACTAAGATGATTATGGCATTAATTCTACGTTATATTCAAACTTAAGTGGCCAGTGTGAATGCTCATATACTACATTCCACCAAACTTTTTACACTTCTACAAGTTACGGATATGAATCATGTTCCAAACATTTCTGACAAAAGGGTTACCATAGCTGGAAAAGTGCTGATTGCGCCACATCAACTGTTTACAGTGGCTAGATCCATACTTCAGTCTTTGACGTCCGTTATCATCAAACCCGATGAAAAAGGCTTCCTTCCATGTTCCGGACGTCGAGGTTGCAGTGATTTAAACAAGAAGATCAAAAGTCTTTTATCGGTCTTATTCCTGGCAAGCGGACTCCATCATTGGAGAGTGTCACAGGAAGGTACATCCTGAGATAAGTCTTACTATGTCAATCGTGCGATAACTTTTGGATTCCTGAGTTACGTGCGCGAGTAGAACGAATCTTTTGTTATTGCATTGAATCAAAAAAAATTCGATAATCTTTCAGTACTCTGAACAAGGTTACCTACCCAAACAAATAATTTTGATGTCACATCCTGTCTAACACTTTAGTCTGGACTATTTTGTTCCGCTAACAATTATTCAGTCGTACTCCACTGGAAAATAAATGTTATAGAGCCATAATAACATGTATGGCGACGAGACTTACACATCGCGAAATCGTATCCAAACTTACAACCTTTAAACTCCCCATGTTCCTACCCCATTTTTTTGCGAGATAAGGAATGACTGCAATAATCACAACAACGCTCCGATGTTCATACTCTCAGAAACCAGTCTACAGTCTAAGAACGACCCAGAAGTAATGCAAGTAATAAGGAATTATTGAGGAGTCCAGTGATGCATCACACCATTTGCTCAGTGGCAAGGAGGTGTCTATGAAAAATTTACAAAATTTTCAATGGAATACTCTACAGTAGCAATAATAGAAATCGAATCCCTACCAAATGCATGACCACTTATGTATGTGAAATCACAATCACCACACGTGGAAGAAATCAGACCTATTGACTTTTTCCAGAATGCATTCGAAATTCCACACCCATATGATGGGCTTTATTGAAGAAATAAGTGACTCCTCCTACATTCCATCAGACGCACAAATTCTTTTAAACATAAAACAGCAAGTTATAGAAGCCTTAAATCGTCCTATGAATTTACAGAATTCTTGAGAATTAGGAGGTCTCACTGTTAAATGCCGTCCCTTGAAAAGCACATTGCGGACCACGAAGGAAGAGGAGTTCGAAATATTTTTTCAAGGAAGACAGAATGGTACTAATCAACAATCAAGTACATGCTCGAGATTTATGGAATATGAAAGGAGTCAAGGAGCTCGTCTAGAATTACAAGGAATAGGTGATGTTATTCGGCTACCATTCCATCACCTAATCCGCAGACTACTAAATCTTTAGGTTCCGCTAGAACTAAACGATGTCCAATCACAAGAAGCACAGAGCAGCGAGCAATCTGAATCAAGAATACGGCAACTAACTATGGATTCCGACCCACAAGTAAAGGATGTCCGCGCAGTAGGATTCACAGAACTAACGGATACCTATGAGAAACTAGGTGGATGCAATATCCAACGCCAACAGCAAATAAATTGCAGAAATCTCGTGTTCCTGCAAATAGCAGTCCAACACGTTTCTCTGGTTCTCAGCATTCTATCTTTATGAGCCGTGCTGGGCCAATGTTTAGTGTTAAATTCACTTCAACCTTCAAGCTTTCGACCTGCGTATAAAACGTACAGGCGGGGAAATACAACTCATTTTCCGGACAACATTATCAATCTACAAGGTAAGTGCAGACGATTACAGTAAAATTTTTAACACAGCCCAAGCTAATGCGAGAGTACACCTTCCTTCGCGAGTAATACTACTAGAACGTCGAATTCAGTGGAAATTTACTGACAACAGATCTATTGAAACCATTGAAACTACTTGTCCACCATCACCATTTTGCGAACACATCAACTGTGTTCTATGTTCTACGTTAACTACTCAACCGGAATGCGGGCTAAATGGAGCCATGATAGCAACAACAGTAGCCCTCTATTGCACTATCACCATTTGCTGCGTACTTTCATACGTACCGCTCACACTCAGCAAGTCCTTGCGAGTAACATTATATTAGGCTACATTTCAGCAGCATGCAAGCGACATACAAAATACATAACCATAGTCCATCTGGCATACATAGTAACGAGCGAGGTATGCCAACAAGTGGACTTATTTTCCCATACTACTACAATTTTCCACGCAGTCCAATGAAGGTCAGATCTCCAATGTTCAACGTCCCGAAGTTTTAGAAATGAACGCCCTCGAAGGAGAAGCCAGCTTAAAGCTATTCGGCAATTAAACTTCGTGACGTGAAATTGAGCTCTTATGAAACTCACTAATACTAAGCTTCGATGCGGAAATTGACTTATTTACTTTCTGTAATAGTTACCAAGTACTCGGCAGCAAGCGCCGCCCTCATACCAGATCACACAAAGGAGCAAAGTGCTTTGCAGTAAATGCCACAGGTCTGCTACTTGAACTGGATCGCAAAAGCATATTTCCAGGACTAAAAGCTTGTGTTGGGTTCTGAGTGGAACAGAATGGGATTTTTTTATTAGAGCTCTGGATATCTATTTTGTTGTATTTACTTGCTGCCAACATCTCCAAAAGTGCATGAAGTATTCCACTGCAATCGCTATTGAAAATCAGCGAAAGTGTATTGCACATTTCGACGTTACCCTACGAAAAACGCAGCCCTACGAAGCATACATGCGACAAAATGTTCCATTCACCTGGAAGTTTTTCACGTTTGCGCTTAGCTCCATAAGATTACCACATATCCTATAACTCATCACATTATTTCCATCGGACGGAGGTCATATGTGCTTTTCAGACCCCCACTTAATGTCACCACTTCAATTTCCAAATCAACCAGCAACATAGGGAGTTAAGTGCACATTTGCTGAAAACTGTGCTTGTTACCCTTTCGTGACACAAGGGAACTGCAAGTGCTACCAGGTAAACATATCTCCATGGTTCAGTAATATGCAAAGCGGGCTACTGATAATCCTTCCATCACTAACGTTTCATTGAAGCTGCGATGGACAAATAAAAGTCAAGATTCCCAACATGACCACGGTGGAAATAATTGTCACTAGTCAGGACAAATTAGAAACAAGCCTCATGAGGGACTGCGTTTTCTGCAACGTTCATAACACAGTACTACATGGATGTTGTCGTTGCATAAAAGATGCATTAGTGCAAGTAGTTTCCAAATGATCTAATCATCCTCGCAGGCAGAAACAGTATGCATTACGTCAAGTTTCACATTGCTCTGCGATACAGACGGGAAGAAGTAAATATTTCGTTTTGGCTTCAGTAATGCTTGAATTACGGAGAAATGCAGAGTCAGCTAATAGCTTGCGAAAGGTGATATACGTAACTTTCTACTTTCTGGTTTTTAAATCATTATGTAGAGGAAACTTATCCTCAGTGCTGAACCAGAAGTAAGATGTCACTGTTAGTGTTTAGGTATGGTGACGTGCAAATTTGATAGCCTTGGGCTCACTGACCCTTTCATCGGTCCGAAGTCAGGGAATTGGCACTGCCCTTTTCCGAGACAGGTTCACCCCCACGTGGGAACTCGGCTCGTTTCAGGATTCTAAGCAGATTCAACTCTACTAAAATTCAACAACACTCATGAGACGGAGACGAAAAATTCTTCAGGTGGCATTTGAACCCAACGAAATAAAACTTCGGAGGCCATGGATTATAGATACGAGGAAACAAGTCAAATGCAAAAATGCTAGAGTGCTTTCATACATTGTGATTCATCCAGGCATATATATGTACATACATGCACATAGATTTATATATGTGCGTGTATTCAATATATATATATTATATATATATATACACATATATATATATATATCCAATTCAAATCAAGCTAGAAACTCAGGGGCAGAAACAAAGCGTGAGAGAATATCAAATCATTATTCCCATCATATTTATCAGTCGCTACTGTTTTTGTTTGAGCATTGACTGGCTGGTATTCCAAAGTTAATTTCAGATTGATCCTTTCCCACATGTGCGTATTTTCACCGAGAAATTGCGTCGTATTTCAAATAATGTGCGTTCTGAATGGCCAGCGCTTGATTCTCCACGTCGTCAAACGCCTTCACGACGAAT